GCCAGAATGCTCTGGTTTGAATCCTTGCTTTGCCACTCTTTGACCATGGACAAGCGATTTAGCCTCTCGGTGCCTTAGTTTCTGCATCTATAAAGTGGATATAAATAACACCTCCCAGCCAGGCACGGTAGCTCAAGCCTATAATCCCAGCACTTTGGGAAATGGAGACAAGAGGATTACCTGAGCCCACTTGTTTGAGACCAGCCTGGACAACAAACATGCCAAGACCTCGTCTCTACAATAAATCAAAAAACTAACCGGGCATGGTGGCAAGTGCCTGTATTTCCAGCTACTTGGAATGCTGAGGTGGAAGGATCGCCTGAGCCCAGCAGGTCCAGGCTGCGGTGGCCGTGATTGGACCACTGTACTCCAGCCTGGGCTATAGAATGAGACTCTGACTCAAAAAAAAAAAAAGAGGATGTATGAAGTGCTTTCACAGTGGAGCACAGACTGGACAATAAATTGCATACTAATGTGGAAGGAGGAAAATGAGACTGCATTGTCAGCTGGAATAGAAAAACATCAGGCAGAAGATATCCAGCAAATTACTATTGCACAATATGTATCAATGAACCTGCAATGAATGCATGTCAGTGACTGTTTCACGTTACCATGTGTTAGAAAAATATAAGATATAAAGCTTTGCTTTTTTGTCATAAATAAGTCCCTCAATGTCTAATATTCCATAGTAAGCCAAATATCATTACCGTAAAATAATTGGTTCCAACACTACACTATTTAATATGAAGTGATTGGTTTTTCACTTTTTTTGTAAAAAAGTGCAGTTGGGTTGCTGGTAGGTGATCTGCAAGATACCTTTGAATGCAAAGGTGCCTGGCACACTCTAAGTGCCTTGTAAGTCTTCCTGGGCCACACTGGCTCAAGGTTGCGTCTTTAGGCAGGAGGACTTTTTGGGAAGCAAACCTAAGGAGAATTGATTCACACCCAAATTTCCTGGGACCAAAGAGACCATGGGCATTTTATTTTTGGGGCGTCTTTGGAACCTCTGTCCTGAGGCCCCAAACAGTTGGAAGACATTATTAATAATTCCTTACACTTGATACTTGATGTATGGTGCTTTGTAGTTTACTAAGTACTTACCACATATGTACAGATACTTCCTTATTTGATCTTCACGTGAAACCTGTGAGATAAGCAGAGATTGAGCTTCATTTCACAGGTAGGAGCATGCTGTTCAGCATAGAGTGACCTCTAGGTGTGAGCCCAGGTGCAATGGGCTCAACAAGCACATTTATTGTAGGTTCTTGAGTTCATGAGATCAGAACCCAGTGATGCCAGAGGTGAGGGTGTAGTTGCTTCGTGAGCTCTTGACTTCACTGCAAAGAAGAATTTCAGAGTGAATCTGAGTAGAAGTTGAAGATAGGATTTGTTAGGATGGAAAAGGAAACATGTCCAGAGGAGGACATGAGTGCCTTAGGAGAAAGGGCACAGCCAGTTGCTGTTAGCTGGGTGCTTTGTATCCTTTAAGATAGTGGTTAAGCAGTCTTCTTCTACAACAAAAAATCTCTGCCAAAAAAATCTCTGCGCTATGTGGGGAATGCAGTGGGTTGTAGTCTGTTGATCACTAGTTTCTGTTCTTATTATTTTTTCTAGGCTGACTTCTAAGCTTACTTGCGTCATGTGAAATAGTTGAAATAATGGTAAAAGTTATTGTTTTATGGTTTAAGTAAGGTGTTTTTGGAAACGCCATGCTCCGGTGCTTCTGGTTTCAGTAGCTGTGTGTGCCAGCCACCCTACATTTGGGACTGGGGCAGGGGTTTCAGTAGCTGAGTGTGCCAGCTGCTTTGCATTCTGAGGCTGGGGCTGGAAGCCTAGTTAGTGCAGGTATTGTTTCAGAAAGTTGTGTCCCTATCAGTCAGTGCCCTGGTGCCTCTTTATCATGTTTTCTAGTCACCTAAGCTATGCCTACCTGTAAGAATCGTGTGTGTCTGAGCTACAGTAGCTGTCCTGCCACCCCAGGACTCCTGACCACACTCCATGCCTTCCTCTCCACCACTCCTTCCGTCAAATGGGTAGAGACAACACTCTGCTTTTAAAAGAAAGAGATTATAAGGAATGATTTGTGAAAAGGAACCTAAACAGTGTTGGGTCATCCTTACTTGCCTTTATAGGATAGCGCCAAGTGCTGAGTTAGGGGATTTTAGACTTAACACCCGTCCTGTTTGTCAGGCCAGAGCTGCAGTTTGTTGACTGGGCTTCTGTCACTTCTGCTTCTGTGGGTGACAGTGTGCCCCTGAGGCAGAGACCTGCCTGGCTGGTCAATCCTTTGAGCTCTGTGAGGTCTGGGGCAGGACTCCTTGTGTGTAAGTGGCATATAACCATCAGCAGTTCCGCTGCCTCTGTAGACAGCCTTTGTCTTTGGTTAGCTGGGTAATGACCTCTCTGTGGGAACTGGAGTTGCAGTACTTTCCTTAGAATCGCCAGGTATACGGGAATACCAGTTGGGATTCTCTTGATATTAAAATAGTGGTGGAATTTGACAACTTCTGGCCAGAGGATTGGTTTGTGGCTTTGTTGAAGGTGTGCCACTTCCTCGTTTGCCTAATTTCTCTTGTGACCTAAATATCCGACTTCTAAAGAGCCATGAGAGGGGTAAGTCCTAATTTTTGTTTTAGGTTACCTGAAGAGCGAATTCAAAGAAAAGTTACATTGACTCCTTGGATCCCCCCACATGTTCACCCCAACTCTTGCCTGTTTTGCCTCTCATGTTTTAGGGCTTCAGGGTCTGTTTTGAGATTTGTGTCTTGATGCCAGGGGCCAGCACAGGCTGGCTTAGCTCCTTGCTTGTGTGTGGGACACTTGCCGCAGTCACTAGGGAAAACTCGTGCTGTAGCTTCTATCAGATTTTTTTTAATGGCTTTTCCACCTGGTATCATGGGAGCCACGGCTGTTTCTTGATATCTTCTGTTTCCCCCTGGGATCCACGGCTGCAAGCAGACAGCTGTGGCTAGCTGTGCTCTCTGTGGCTGGCTGAGTTCATTGTGATAGAAAGGGTTGGGCCTGTGTGGGCAGTCCCCTTCAGAGCAGGACGCTGACTTGATGATTCACACTGAGCGAGTTTTCTAACAGCCTTGTGACTCTCACATGGGGAATATGAGTGACTCTTGAGAAATCTTTGCATAAGAGATTTTAAAATTTTCTTTTGAGCTTGCTTTGGTGATTTTTCTTAAAGTTAGCACATTCCTTGTTTTCAGCTTAAATCTCAAGGACAGGGTGTTCAGTCTTGCTCCTTCTTACCCAGGGTTATTACTGGTTGTGATTTTGTTCTTCATGCTACTCTTGATGTGCTGATGTTAACTAACTTCGGTGTATATATAGAAATAGCCTTTCACTGTTTAGTTAATACCGTACTTTGTACAAATGTGCAAAAATAGTGCTTTTTCACATACTGTCTTTTTTCTACCTGTCTATACTGTGGGTTTCTTACAAAAGCTAAACAAACTATAGCTTTTGTTGTTGTTGTTGTTTTAGTCAGAGTCTCATTCTGTTGCCCAGGCTGGAGGAGTACAGTGGCATACTCAAGGCTACCACAGCCTCTACCTACTGGGCTCAGGCAATCCTTCTGTTTCAGGCTTCCAAGTAGCTGGAACCACAGGTGTGTGCCACCACTCCTGGCTAACTTTTTTATTAGTTGTAGAGACAAGGTCTCACCAAGTTGCCCAGGCTGGTCTCGAACCCTTGAGCTCAGGCAGTCCTCTCGCCTCAGCCTCTCAAAATGCTAGAATTACAGACTTGAGCCACCATGCCCAGCTTTTTTTTTTTTTAAGTCAGAGTCTCACTCTGTTGCCCAGGCTGTAGTGCCATGGCATACTCAGTGCTACCACAGCATCTACCTGCTGGGCTCAGATGATCCTTCTGTCTCAGTCTTTCAAGTAACTGGAACTATAGGAACACACCACTACACCCAGCTAATTTTTTTGATTTATTGTAAAGATGAGGTCTTGCCAAGTTGCCCAGGCTGGTCTTAAACCCCTGGGCTCAGGCAATCCTCTCTCCTCTGCCTCCCAAAGTGGGGATTATAGGCGTGAGCCACCACACCAGGCCCAATAGCTTCTTATCAACAAATAAACAAGCAAGAAATAAAAATTATGTAAATAAACAAGTAATTTCCATTTGTAGTGCCAGATCCCCCAAAGACCCCAAAAATGAAGACACTGTGTCCCAGAAGCCGAAGAAATGTACCAGAGACAATGAACAAGACATGGACTTTATTCAGGAACTTAACAGGGAAGGTGGTCCAGGAGTGGCTGTCTGGGTAGGAAAAAAACCATGCCTGATGGTGAAAGGCACACAGGTCATGTAGCATTTTCCATAGGGCAGAGTGTGAGGTTGCATGTCAAAAGGTAGAATTTCCAGTGCGCAGGTACAATGGGCGAAGGGGCTTACACATACATGGCATGTCTACAAAATGCAGATTCTCTCTAGGGGTAGAATTTTTTGTATTATAATGAACTAAAGTTAGCCAAAGGTTATGGACTTTGGTCTAGGCCTGCCCAGCTCCAGCCGACTGCCTTAGGAAGGGTGCTAGAGAACATTCAGTATGAGAAGCTGCAAGATTTGGTCAACAGGTGCCAGGACACCACGCCCACGGCCTCAGCTTGACCTTCGTGTCCAGGCTGGAGCCCAGGGGGACATCCTGGGTTGGCTTCCCTCAGGTCCAGCCCCTGGGCTTGGAGCCACATCCTGGGTTGGCTTCCTCCCTAGGCTCCAGCCCCCAGCTTGGGGCCATATCAGTGTGTGCTCATGTCGTCACTGAGGGTGACCTGTTTCTCTGACTTGACTAATAGGCATCTGGTCTATTTTAATTAATACTTTTCAAAATGTGTAACAAGTACCTCCTGCTGTTACTTCATTTTGCAAGTAACATCAGCAGAAGATTCTGTAATCGTACTTGAGTGGACACTTTGTTGTTGACATCTATTGCTGTTTGTTACCATTGAGATCCTGGTGACACCAAGTTTTGTGTTGACTTTCTGTAGGTGTTTTCACAGTCCTGTGTTTGGTATGGAGAGTGTGGAATTGCATCTGGGGATAAGAGGTACAATTGCAAATATTCTGGCCCTCCAAAGCCATTGCCAAAGGATGGGTATGACTTAGTGCAGGTAAGTTCATTATCTTGGAAACACAAAATGCTGATCACGAATTCCTCTGTAATCATACCTTAAATGTCATTGTGGGGTGGAGGTGGAGGTGAGACTAACCGGCTTACATCTTACCCTAAACTCTAACCTGTAGCAAATAATGGCAGAGAAGATAACGCTATCACTCCAGTGGTGATTTTCAGGGGCTGCCTTCATAGCCCTCATAAAGCTTCCAAATAGCAGCTTACTATTTAAGGATTGACCTAGGTCCTTCAAATATTGTGCTTTGCAAACTATGCGCCATATATTAGAAGTTAGCTTTTTTTTGGTGCCTAGATTTTAGGACTTGAAAGGACTCTGCTGCTCAGTGACTATGGCTTCCCTGTCCCCTTTCATATTGCTGTTCCCTCTGTGTTCACCGACAGCCTGTGAATTTTGGCTGCTACCAGGATTCTGCTTTCCTTTCTCTTTTTTCCCATCCTTGATACCCAGGGATATTTGAAAAGAATTGAAAAAAATCACGGTGAAAGCCTGGTTTTAGAGACTTAAGTAATTGAAATCAAGTTAACACAATAACAGAGCTCCTCGCCTCACTCGCTTCTTTCATCAGAATTATTATTATTTAAATTTTTATTATAAAAATGTGGGATACAATTCAGGGTTGGGTATACAAACATTGATCATGCAGGTATCCCTGCTAATGAGGTATGCCCCTCCCTCCCCTAGCAGTTTCTCTCAACTGCCAATCCTACCCCCCCCCACCAACAGTTTCTGATTACTGCCAATCGCTTTCTTAAAAAAGAAAAAAACCAAACAGAATTATTTTAAAGACTTTGACTTTCCATAGAGTGACTAATGGAAATAGTAAATAGCACTCTGGTTGAATTTCAACAGCAACAACAAAACAAACAAACAAAAAACCAAGATGAGGTAAAGTGATTGTCAAGAAAGGGGAATGATCTTCCAAATGGAAACAAATTAGAACTATCTGCTACCTCTGCTTGTGAATCCCTAGTTTATAAATATTAATAGTAAATGTGCGAGCTTTGCACATTACAAATTCTATGGAAATTCTGTGAGAACTTTGCAGATACAGTATGTGTCTTACTCTCGTGTCCCTAAAAGGGATTCCAGGAGTGAGGTTGTCTTATTTCATTGAGGAGCGTGTCCTTATTTTAACTGCGCTTTCTCTTCTGAAAAGGAACTGTGTCCCGGCTTTCTCTATGACAATGTCAGTCTCTGTTGTGATGTTCAGCAGCTTCAGACACTGAAAGACAACCTGCAACTGCCTCTACAGTTTCTGTCCAGGTAGGCTGACCACCAGGCAAGCAGAACAGATGGGTTTAGGTATCTGTGAACTGCTTATGTTCAGATTTCCTTTTAAAAGTCAGGTTTTGTTTTGTTTCGTGGGTTTTAAAATTTTTTTAATTTTTATTTTTTGAGTCATGGTCTTACTCTGCCGTTCAGGTTGGAGTGCAGTGGCACGATCACAATTCACTGTAGCCCCGACCTCCTGGGCTCAGGCGATCCTCCCACCTCAGCCTTCCAAGTAGCTGGGACTACAGGCACATGCACCACAACTGGCTAATTTTTTTTTTACGTTTTTTAGAGACGAGGTCTCACTATGTTGCCCAGGCTGGTCTCGAACTCCTGGGCTCAAGCGATCTTCCCACCTCAGCTTCCCAAAGTGCTGGGACTACAGGCATGAGCCTCCACACCTGTCCTGTTTTGTGTTATTTTAACAAAATATTTTTATGACTTGTCAAAAATAAAGAGAAAATAATGATCAGATATGGTTCTCTTGCCAGCTGCATTCAGAGTTAGCACTTGGTTTCCTCTGAGATGTCCTCACCCTATGGGGTGTCTGCATTGTGATTGGGGACGCATTCCTTTCCAACTCGAGTCTCTATGTGCTGTGGGGAAGAGAGGTTCCTAAAGTCTGCTCAGGTCCCTGGCCCTAGACACTCATTTGTGTAGGCCTCTGCATCACCTCCCTCTGTTCACCTCCCCTGCTGTGCCCGTTGTTCTTATCTCTTCTGTGGTGAGACAATGTGCTGGAGTCAGGTCCTCAGCAAAGCTGGCCTTGGGTCATGGTCAGCAAGCTTGTTCCAACGAGTTGACTTGTTTTGTCAGAGTTCGTTTTCTATTTAATCTGTCCACAGTGACCCTGGGTTGTGCAAAAGGGCTGAGTAGTGGATGTTCTCCCGTGGGCCCACCCAGCAGCTCTCAAACATACAAAAGAACACGCTGCTGGTGTTCTTGAGGACAGCAGAGTATGGTATCTTTCTACATTTTTTGGACTTCGGCACACTGATAAAGATGTATGGGAAACACTTAGTAACAGGGAAGATGCTTCTCTGCAAATGTCACTGTGGGTGACAGGGTGCAAGGCGACTTCAACTGGGGAAATTCTGTTTCTTTCCAGATGTTGACAGCGGAGAGTGGAAAACCCCCACTAAATTGATTTTTTTGTTGGTTTTTGTTTTGAGATAGTGTCTCAGTTTGTTGTCCAGGCTGGACCGCAGGCACGATCACATCTCACTGCAACCTTGATCTTCTGGGCTCCATTGATCCTCCTGCCTCAGCCTCCTGAGTAGCTAGCTGGTACTACAAGTACAAGCTACCACACCCAGCTAATATTTATATCTGTAGAAACAAGATCTTCCTATGTTGTTCAGGCTGGCCTTGAACCCCTGGGCTCAAGCAATCCTCCCTCCTCGGCCTCCCAGAGTGCTGGAATTATAAGCATGAGCCACCATGCCCAGCTAAATTGTTTTTTTCAGGACAGCTTACAGTAATAACCTAAAATTGAGAATCTAATCGGGCCAACATATCTTATGGAAGGCTGGTGGACGTTGATGGAGCCAAATTGGAGTCTTTGTCCCTTTGTCACTTAGCATTCATTTTGGTGAGGCATTACAGACATAAACATCAAAAGATAACCAAGTTTCCCCCGTGTTCTTAGAGGTACCAAAGCTTGAGTTATGATAGCGAGTAAGATAAACACCTGCTATATGGAATGGTATACAGCTATCAAAATTGATTATTATGGAGATTAAATGTAGTTACATGGAAAGTGTTTGAAAACCGTGTGCACCTAAGAGTGACTGCTATTAGAATAATGTAATTGTAGTGTCTGACTTTGTCATGGCAAAGCACAGAGCTCTTGAAAGAGAATCAGCGTGTCTGTCTCCTTCCCTAGAGCAAAGCTTCTTGAAGGCCAGGACACACTTTTTCTCATTCTGTGTCATATGTGGTCACTGAGTCTAGATCAGAGTTGAAAATAACCTTGACTGTGTTGCAAGAACGCAAGTCTAATAAAGCAATAGCTCTTGTAGGTATCAGTGGATCAAATGGAAAGGAGATCTCTTTTGCCACATGACAAGTCAACATTGGGAGCTTAAACTTTGAACCTGAAGGACAGCAGACAGCTTGTGGTTCTCATGAAACTGTGTGCTTCTGCAGTGCTTTTTGCCAGAGGACATCACTGCTGTTTTCTTGTTTTTGCTAGGGGATATCTCCCTGTGTTTTTGGAAGGACTCAGGGATTTTCTGGGGCTTGGAAGAAAGCCCTATAATAGGTTATAAGATGAAAATTCTGCCAGGCATGGCGGCTCATGTCTGTAATCCCAGCACTTTAGGAGGCCAAGGCAGGAGGATTGCTTAAACCCAGGAGTCTAAGACCAGCATGGGCAGCATAGCAAGACCTCGTGTTTCCAAAAAAACAGACAAAAACTAGCCGAGTATGGTGATGCACACCTCTAGTCCCAGCTACTCAGGAGGCTGAGGCAGAAGGATCGCCTGAGTCCAGTAGGTTGAGGCTGTGGTAAGCCATGATCATGCCCCTGTGCTCCAGCCTGGGCAGCAGAGTGAGACCCCCAACTCAAAAAAAAATAAATTCTGATAGTAACTATTTTTTCTTCTTAATCAAAATTGTCACCACAAAACTCCAGGACAAATAAAATATGTCTCTATAATACAAAATGCAGACTTCAGAGAAGCATCTTTCTTTTTTTGAAATTATATCTGGACAAAATAAATATAGTAATTATATTTACTGTACTCCAGCCTGGGCAACAGAGCAAGATCCTGTCTCAATATCTTAATATTGTTCTTAATATCCTTGCCTATTTTAAATCATTTTTGGTGACCCTGTTACCTATAAAATTATGTAAAATATAATTTGCTTCTTCCTTAGATGTCCATCCTGCTTTTATAACCTAATGAACCTGTTTTGTGAGCTGACGTGTAGTCCTCAACAAGGTCGGTTTCTGAATGTTACAGCAACTAAAGATTATGTTGATCCTGTCACAAACCAGACAAAAACAAACGTGGTAGAGTTACAGTACTATGTCGGACAGAGTTTTGCCAATGGTAAGTAACTTTTAATTATTTTTTTACTGCAGGAGATGGGAGTAGGTTGTTCCTTTTTGTTGTCCTGTCAACTGTGTGGAAAAACACAATTTTTTTCAGTTCCATTGGCCAGGAAATAAGAGTTGTTGCTTTGCTTGTATCCTAGGGCTTAAACTACAAACAATAATATAAATCTCCTTAAGGCTTTCACCTCTTTCTGACTTTCAGTTCCCACATGGAAAATTTTGGTAGGAGCAAATTTGCTTCTGTACATTTTAGTAACCAGTGGAACTTTGGTTCTAGCGAATGTGAACTGTGTAACTTCATAAACTACCACAAGGCTGAGGAGATAGAACTAGTTAGCAGAGGAGAGGAAGTTATGACTCTGAAGGAACAGATCACCAGCAGGGAATGTCAGCAGCCCAGCAGGTAGAAGAAATGGCCTTCCAACAACCAGAAATCATGGGGCAGTCTCAAAGAGACACAACGTGTGTTAAAGATGACTGAAATGCAAGAATTCTGAAAGAATAGGGTGCTACAGAAAAAGAATAAATTACTATGAATTAGAACCAACCGAATTTACCAGTGGGAAATAGTCATTGAGATGGACTGAAAGATAAACAGATTAGACAAAGCTGAACAAAGAAAGTGTCCAAGAACAATCTACAAATAACAGAACAAGAATTTAGCAAAGTTGTCTATTATAAGAACAACATACAATTAATTGTAATGACCAAGTAAAAAGATAACAAGAAATATAAAAAAGGATCTATTCACAAAAGCAACCAAAAGTAACATACCTAGGAATCAGTCTTCCAGGTGATGGGACCTAAAAAGCAACCTGGGGCCTGGCATGGTGTCTCATTCCTATAATCCTAGCACTTTAGGAGGCCAAGGCAGGAGGATCACTTGAGGCCAGGATTTCGAGACCATTGTGGGCAACAAAACAAGACCTTGTCTCTACAAAAAAAAAAAATAGCAAAATTAGCCAGATGTGGTGGCATGCACAGCTGTAGTCCCAGCTATTTAGGAGGCTGAGGCAGGAGGATTGCCTGAGCCTAGGAAATTGAGGCTGCAATAAGCCATGATTGTGCCACTGCACTCCAACGTGAGTGATAGAGTGAAACTCTATCTCAGAAAGAAAGAGAGAAAGAAGAGGAAAAAAGTACTGCTTTTTCATACTTGACCATAGAGAGATTATTCTGTCTAGAAATAGAACCATACATCTATGGAAAGTTGCCATGTAACAGGTGTAGGTTTGTCACTACAAATCATTGAGAGGAAGGGTGGGCTAGTTAATTACTAGGTTGAGGAAATTGATTATATTCATCTATTTTTTATTTTTGCATATAATACTAAAAAAAAAAGTCAAAAGTCATAATCTTAAAAATTTTAAGAAATATAGACTCTGTTTATGACGTTAGGGTAAGGGAGGGATTTCTAGACAGGAAAGGAAAAGCAGAAACCATAAGTGAAAAGATTTACAAATATAGGCTATTAGTATCTAGAGTAGACAGTGAAATGCAAATTAAAACAGTGAACCAGCCGGGCTTGGTGGCTCAGCCTGTAATCCCGCGCCTTTGGGAGGCTGAGGTGAGTGGATTGCCTGAGCTTGCGGGTTCGAGACCCGTCTGGGCAACTTGGGGAGACCTCATCTCTACAATAAATAAAAAATGAGCCAGGCGTGGTAGCACGCACCTGTAGTTCCAGCTACTCGGAAGGCTGAGGTGGAAGGATCGCCAGAGCCCAGCAGGTCGAGGCTGCGGTGCCCGGGAGCGGCCACTGCACTCCAGTCTGGAAGACAGAGTGAGACTCCAACTCAAAAAACAAAAACAAAAATAGTGAACCACCCTTTTACATCTGTTCAGATTGGCACAGGTTTAAAAGTTGGTCAGTTCCAGCTATTAAGGGATGTGAAGCAACAAAAATGCTAATAAATGCCCCACTTGTAGCCACAGCTTAGTGCAAGTGTTGGAAAGCCATGTGAAAATAATTTTGTAATACTTGGTAAAGTTGATGAGACGTAATCTCTTATGCCAGAAATTTCACGTGTAATAGTTGCCTGCCTTAGAAAACTCTTGGTGTATGGAAACAAGAGACTCATAGGAGCAACCTTTGTAACATTATTGTTTTTGTGAAAAACTAGAGACCTAAGAAAATGAGAAGACATGACAGACTGGGAGAAATTATTTGCAAAAGACATATCTGAGCAAGGACTGTAACTCAAGATGTACAAAGAACTCTTAAACAAATATGACAGTAAGTAAATCAGGCCAGGCATGGTGGCACAGGCCCGTAATCCCAACACTTTGGGAGGCCAAGACAGGAGGATAGTTTGAACCCAGGAGTTTGAGAGCAGCCTGGGCAACATAGTGCGACCCCCGTCTCTATAACAAAATAGAAATAAAAGAAGAAAATAAACCATGTATCTCTGGTCAGCTGATTTTTGACAACGGTGCCAAGCTCATTCCATGAGAAAAGAATACTCTTCTACAAATGGTGCTGGGATAATGGATATATATGTGCAAAAGAATGAGATTGGACTCTTTACTCCATATACAAAAAGTTAACTTAAAGTGAATCAAACACCTAAATGTCAAAGCTAAAACTATAAAACTCTTTGAAGAAAACATAAGGGTAAATCTTTATGACCTCAGATTTGCCAGTGGATTGTTTTTTTTTTTTGAGTTGGAGTCTCACTCTGTCACCCAGGCTGGAGGGTAGTGGCACGCTCCCAGCCACCACAACCTCGACCTGCTGGGCTCCTATGATCCTGCCGCCTCAACCTTCCAAGTAGCTGGAACTACAGGTGTGCGCTACCACGCCTGGCTAGTTTTTGGTTTATTGTAGAGACGAGGTCTCGCCAAGTTGCCCAGGTGGATCTCGAACCTGTGGGCTCAGGCAATCCTCTCACCTTGGCCTCCCAAAGTGCTGGGATTACAGGCCGAGCCCGGCCGGCAATGGATTCTTTTTTTTTTTTTTTGAGTTGGAATCTCACTCTGTCACCCAGACTGGAGTGCAGTGGCCGCTCCCGGCCACCGCAGCCTCGACCTGCTGGGCTCCGGCGATCCCTCCGCCTCAGCCTTCCAAGTAGCTGGAACTACAGGCGTACGCTACCACGCCTGGTTAATTTTTTGATTTACTGTAGAGATGAGGTCTAGCCAAGTTGCCCAGGTGGGTCTGTAACCCTCAGGCTCAGGCACTCCACTCACCTCAGCCTCCCAAAGCACAGGATTACAGGCTGAGCCACTGAGCCCGGCTTGGCAGTGGATTCTTAAATAACAATACCAAAAGCATGAGCAACAAAAGAAAAACATAGATAAACTGGACTATTAAAATAGAAAACCTTTGTACTTCAAAGGACACTGTCAAGAAAATATTTGCAAATCATGTATTTGATAAGGGATTTGTATCTGGAATGTATAAAGAACTCTTTCAACTCAATAAGTAGATAAAATAACCCAATTTAAAATGAGCAAAGGATCTGAATAGACATTTCTCCAGGGATGGTATACAAGTTTCCAATAAGCATATGAAAAGATAGTCAACATTATGAGTCATCAGAGAAATACAAATCAAAACCACAGTGAGATAGCACTTCAACCCCACCAGGACGGCCAGAATAACAAGAAATGTCAGATAACAAGAAGTGTTGGCAGTGGGAAGGTGTGGAGAAATAGGAACCTTGACACATTGCTAGTGGTGACATAAAGTGGTATAGCCACTTTGTAAAACAGTCTTGCAGTTCCTGAAATGATTAAACATGGAATTACCATATGAACCAGCAATTCCACTCATAAAACAAATGAAAATATATGTCCATACAAAAACTCACACACAAATGTTTATAGCAGCTTTGCTCGTAATAGCCAGAAGCTGGAAACAAACCAGACATTTGTCAACTGATAAATGGATAAAGTGTCCATACAAGGGAATATTATTTGGCCATAAAAAGGAATGAAGTACTGATACATGCCACAACATGAATGACCCTTGAAAACATGCCAAGTGAAAGAAGCCAGTCACAAAAGACTACATATTATATGATTCCATTTATGTGAAATGTCCAAAATAGGCACATCTATGAAAGCAGAAAGAAGCCGGCCTTGGTGGCTCAGCCTGTAATCCCAGTGCTTTGGGAGGCTGAGTTGAGGGGATTGCCTGAGCCCGCGGGTTTGAGACCCGCCTGGGCAACTTGGCTAGACCTCATCTCTACAATAAATCAAAAATTAGTCGGGCGTGGTAGTGCACGCCTATAGTTCCAGCTACTTGGAAGGCTGAGGCAGAAGGATCGCTGGAGTCCAGTAGGTTGAGGCTGTGGTGGCCGGGAGCGGCCACTGCACTCCAGTCTGTGTGACAGAGTGAGACTCCAACTCAAAAAAAAAAACAGCAGAAAAATTATTGGTCACTTGGGGAGATGGGGGGCATAGCTGAAGAGTACAGGGTTTCTTTTGAGGCAATGAAAATGGTCTAAGATCAACTGTGGTGATAGCTGCACATATCTGTGAATATTGTAGAATTCATTAAATTGCACACTTTAAGTGGGTATATTTTATGATACGTGAATTATGTTTCTACAAAGCTGCTTTTTAAAAAACAAAAAGAAATTCATGAGTATAGCGTAGAAAACCATAAAAACTACAGAGACAAATACTTGTATTTTGAAAGCAAATAGAGAAGACACAAGTCACCTCAAAAGACTGACATTTGGAGATTTTTTTTTTTACGAGGCATGATAAGAGGCCAGAAGGCAATGGAAATATATTGAGAGTTCTCAGAGACATAACTGTCACTCTAGCTAACCTGACTCTCTAAAGCAAGAGTAAAATAAAATGAACGTGTAAGTATTTCCTTGATATTTGGGGAAGAAGATTTTGGAGGCTTCTAGGAAGCAGGGCCTGGTAAGTGAAGATTACATTACAGGACCCATTCCAACTGCTTTCTTATGTGTAAAACATTAATATTATCTTTATGTAGTATATTGTCTTTATGTATACCAAAATCAAACCCCAAAAGAATAGTATTAGGTTTATTCTCTCCTGACCTCTGCCCCAACACCAGTTTTCCCTGTGAGTCTTCTGATTCTCTGGCTGTGGAAACTGCTTCTGCAGAGGCCTTCTGGAGCCAGCTTCACTGGTTAAAGAAGCACCAAGGCCTTCGGTATCTCCTTCCTGAGCCTCATTGTGCTCTTCTACACCGTGGGGATAAGACTTCTCCACACTGTTTTGAGAACTACGTGAGATCATGGGAGCCTTTCCCTTTGCTGTCTGCTTTTCACTTTTAAGTTAGTTGGAATCAGACCTGGCATGTTATTTGCAGGGTAATAAGTCAATATGAAGGGACATCTCGGTTCCTGCCCTTCTTGTTCACTGCCTGTGGTCCAACCTGCTCCCTAACGTGGCTGCAGTGCATGTGAAGTTGCCCGTTCCCATTCAAGAGGCCTTTGCAAGATCTTGTCCAGTGAATTAAAGCATGCATCCCGTCTATTTATTTTTCCCTTGGATTCCTCTTCTAGCAATGTACGATGCCTGCCGGGACGTGGAGGCCCCCTCAAGTAATGACAAAGCCCTGGGACTCCTGTGTGGGAAGGATGCTGATGCCTGCAATGCCACCAATTGGATTGAGTACATGTTCAATAAGGACAATGGGCAGGCGCCGTTTACCATCACTCCCATCTTTTCAGGTAGGGATAAAGACTCCAAGTTTTACGATGTTTTAAAGTCAAGGAATCAGCTGGCAGCTCACACCTATAATCCCAGCCCTATGAGAGACTGAGGTGGGAAGATCACTTGAGACCAGGAGTTTAAGACCAGCCTGGGCAACATAGCCAGACCTCATCTATACAGAAATAAATTAGTTGGGCATGGTGCCTCATACATGTAGTCCCAGCTACTCAGGAGGCTGAGGCAGGAGTATCGCTTGAGCTCAGGAGTTGGAGGCTGTAGTGACCTGTCGTGCCACTGCACATCAACCTGGGTGATAAGCAAGACTTCTTCTCTATAAATAAATAAAGACATAAAAAAAAAAGATCGGGAATAGTCTGTAATAGGAAGATAAATTCATATAACTAGTTGGTCAAGTTTCTTCTCAGTAAGAGGTAATTAGAGCGTTTATCCTGCCCGAGTTAATTTAGGGGGCCTTGGGGTAGAAAGGGAGGAAGAAAAAGAATTGCCTTTGTGATTACTGTTGTAATTGAGAGAATAAAAAATAAAATGGGTAGGGAAAGGGTGGCATTTCCAGAAGCCTGCAGTGGATGGAGACAGGGCATGATTTAAGGGTGTGTGATGTATTTGGGTGTCAGTGACAAACCTTATGTTCAAGTTTATAGACAAGTAATCTAAAAATCTCCAGGACAAAGCATCAAAACATAAATTTTTTTTTCTTTTTGAGTTGCAAACTTACTCTGTCACCCAGGCCGGAGTGCAGTGGCACACTTAAGACCACTCCAGCCAGCATCCATCTGCTAGGCTCCGGTGATCCTTCTTCCTCAGCCTTCTAAGTAGCCGGAATTACAGGCACAGGCTACCATGTCTGGCTAATTTTTTATTTATTGTAGAGACGAGGTCTTGCCAAGTTGCCCAGGCTGGTCTGGAACCCTCAGGTTCAGGCAATCCACTCGCCTTGGCCTCTCAAAGTGCTAGGATTACAGGCTGAGCCTCCAAGCCCAGCCTACAACACATACTTTGATTAAACTAAAACCTCCAATTATTTTTATTTTTCCAGTTGTATTAGATATTTCAGTGAGCTTGTTGTTGGGTTTAAATTTAATAGTACAAAATGTTCAATGGTTGTTTTTTTTTTTTTTGAGTTGGGAGTCTCCCTCTATTGCCCGGGCTGGAGTGCGGTGGCATGATCATGGTTCACTGCAGCCTCAGACTCCTGAGATCAAGGGTTCCTCCTGCCTCAGCCTTTTGAGTAGTTGGAATTATAGGTGCAATCCACCTGCCTGGCTAAAATTTTTTTTTAGGGGGTTAGACACAGGGTCTCACTATGTTGCCCAGGCTTGTCTCAAATTCCTGGGCTCAAACTATCCTCCTTCCTCAGCCTCTCAAAGCGCCGGAATTACAGGCATGAGCCACCTCATCCAGCCACAGTGTTTTTTATTGAGTTTTTTCTCAACACAATTTCTTCCTGTAGATCTTCCAGTCCATGGGATGGAACCCATGAATAATGCCACTAAAGGCTGCAACGAGTCTGTAGATGAGGTCACAGGGCCATGCAGCTGCCAGGACTGCTCTGTCGTCTGTGGCCCAAAGCCTCAGCCCCCGCCCCCTCCCGTTCCCTGGAGGATCTTCGGCTTGGACGCCATGTACGTCATCATGTGGATCACCTACATGGCATTTTTGCTTGTGTTTTTTGGAGCATTTTTTGCAGTGTGGTGCTACAGGTAAGGAATTTTGCTTGTCTCCTTGGGCAAGAAGAGCAGAGTCACCCACGGGCATTTGTAGTCTTCCCTTGGCAGAGCTTGGTTAATTTGAACAAGAGACACCTGCATTAATACCATTCTGTGGCCTGCTGTGTCCCACAACTTGCAAACAGAGTCCTGATTAGACATTTAAACCTTTGAAGCAAGTTTTATTGATTTATCCAAAATATGTTATTTAAAGCACTGTGCATTAACCACCTGTTCTTCAGAAAGTCAGGGTGTCATATGAGCCAAATTTGATTCAGAATTAATTAAAGGCAGTACTATAGTCCTTTTAGATATTTGCATCTTGATTTAGGACAATAAATTTTTTTTTTAAACTTTAATAATTTTAGACCAGAATGTTGCAAAAACAGTAGAATCGATGTAAACTGTTTACGCAGGTTTCCCTAATGTTTCAACTTACATAACTCATAATTATTAAAACCATGAAAATAATAGCCTGGGCAACATGGCTAGACCCTGTCCCTACCAAAAAGAAAAAAAATAACCAGGTATGGGGGCATATACCTGTGTTTCCAGCTACCCAGGAGACTGAGGTGGGAGGATCACTTTGAATCCAGGAGGTTGAGACTACAGTGAGCTGTGTTCACTCCACTGTTCTGTAGCTTGGGGGACAGAGACACTGTCTTTAAGAAAGAAAAGAAAATCGGTGTGATATTATTAAGCTAAACCATAGGCCTTATTCGTACTTCATCAGTTTTTCCTCTAATGCCCTTTTCCTGTTTCAGGATCCCATAATATTACACTCACTTTTTTGTGTTTTAACCCATCCAGTCTGTGACACCATTTCTCGGTCTTTCCTTTTTTGACCTTGACCTTTGTGATGAGTACTGGTCATTACTTGGTAGCATCCCCTTCAGTTTGGTTTGTCTGGCATTTGCTCATGGTTGAGTTGAGGTTACCTGTTTTTGATAAGAACATCTCAGAAGTGGTGCTGTGTCTTTCTTGGTGTATCGGGGTACATGACATTGATACGTCACGTTCCTGGTGATTTAACCTTGATCCTTTGGGTGAGATGGTGTCTGTTGCTCCTGGGTCTCTCCCTTGTGAAGTTGCTGTTTTTCCTTTGTAACTATAACTACATTGAGGAGAGATGCTTTGAGACTATGCTGACACTTTACTTTTCCTCAAATTACCCCCCACTGGTTTCAGCATCTATTGGTGGGTCTTGCCTACAACAGTCATTACTGTGGTGTCTGCCTGGTAGTGATTTTCTATTTTCCTAATTCCCTCCGCATCCATTTGGACTTCTGTACAGAAAGCTGTCTCTTCTCTCTCACTTCTTTTTTTTTTTGAAAGCAGGATTTATTGAGAGAACAGGAAAGCTCCCACAGTGGGAGGGGACCCAGAGGGGTTGCCCACTCTCTCACTTCTTTATTCAGTTATTTGCAACATGGACTTTTTACCCTGTGGGCTGTATCCAATATTGTCATTTATTTCATTGCTCTGAGTTTTTACAGTTTTGGCCATTAGGAGTGCCTTCTTCTTGGCTCCTGTGTTCTTTTTTTGGGGGGGGGGGTCCCTCAGACTGGAGTGGAGTGGCATGATCATGGCCTCAATCTCCAGGGCTCAGGTGATCTTTCCTTCTTAGCCGCCCAATTGGCTGGAACTACAGGAATGTGCCACCATGTCTAGTGAATTTTTATTTATTTTTTATAGAGGTGAGGTCTTATTGTGTTGCCGAGATTGATCTCGAACTCCTGGGCTCAAGCAATCCTCTCGCTTTGGCTTCCCAAAGTGCTGGGATTATAGGCATGAGCCACTGCACCCGGCACTTCTGTGTTCTTTTGACATATCCCTTTCCCTGGGTTCATCTGCCTGCATCCTCACCCCAGAATCAGCCCCTTTCTGCAAAGAGCCCTGTTTCCTTTTTTTGGAGGACGGTGTATAGAAATCAAGACTCGGGCACTAGGTGTACTCGTTGCTGCTGGGGAGGGGAGTGTGTTTTTAAGGTACCTAAAAGTTTTAAAGACTAATGAGGGCTACACGGTGAAATGACCTTTTACTAATTGGATTTTTAATGTCGTATTAAATTTTCTCTTGAGACTAGTAAGCAGAGGGACCCAGGGCAAGGGAACTTAGGGAGGAAGAAGCCAGGTTGAGGAAGTCAGCTTTTAATGGGGTTACAGGAAGTCAAAATAACAACAGCTTTATCATGATGATGTCCGCTAATACTACTTACTTACTTTTATTTTTCAGAAAACGATACTTTGTCTCCGAGTATACGCCCATTGATAGCAACATAGCTTTTTCCGTTAATTCCAGTGACCACAAAGGTAGGAATATTTGTACGTCAGTAAAAGGGTTTAGATGGTATTGTCATGAGAGCATTTGTTTCCTCAATGGGGTTGAGGCAATGGGGGAGGCGGCATGCTGGGGCTGGGGACATGACTTTAGTCAAGATAGACATGGCCCTTGCCTTTGTGGCTCTAACATCTAGGCAGGATGGCAGAGCAGAACCAAGCAATTGACAGGAGATGCAAAGGCACTGACACAGCAGGCTGAGAGCAGTGGCAGCAGAGCCAAGTAGAGGGCTGTGGGCAGAGCAGTCAGAGAACTTTGTTCTTCAAGGCCCATGTGTGAGCGTCTCTGTGAGTGGGGATATCACTTGCTGAGGGTAGCCAAGGAAGATGGCTTCACAGATGGATAGCTGAGGTGGGTAAGGACATGTCCTGCGTGGGTCCCCAGGTGGGCTCAGTGCCTGCCTCTAGTGATTGCAGCTAATGCTGTCCCTGTTCCAACTTTCAGGAATGTCTTGGCTCTTAACCTCCATCCTCCCTTCTTCTTCCACTCTTCCAGGGGAGGTGTCCTGCTGTGACCCACTTGGTGTGGCCTTCGAGGGCTGTCTGAGGCGGCTGTTCACATGGTGGGGTTCTTTCTGCGTCCGAAACCCCGGCTGTGTCATTTTCTTCTCGCTGGTCTTCATTGTCGTGTGTTCTTCTGGCCTGGTGTTTGTCCGGGTTACAACCAATCCTGTTGACCTCTGGTCAGCCCCCAGCAGCCAGGCTCGCCTGGAAAAAGAGTACTTTGACCAGCACTTTGGACCTTTCTTCCGAACGGAGCAGCTCATCATCCGGGCCCCCCTCACCAACAAACACACTTACCAGCCGTACCCCTCGGGAGCCGATGTGCCCTTCGGACCTCCACTTGACTTAGAGATTTTGCACCAGGTAATCCGTTCGCAGAAATAAGTCAGCACAGGAGACCTGGTGGTTTGCTGGCTTTTACGGTTCTGCTTGATGTGGATTTGGGGCTGAATGTACTGGTATATGTCGAAAATCTTTGCAACAGCAAAGGTGCATTTAACTTATTTTTCAAGAAAGTGAATGATACATATTGAACTTAATGGAAAATTTCCTCTTGCCTATTTTTATATTTACTTCAGGCAGCAGGTATTGCCTTTTTCTTGAAATTGAGATGAGCAGTGGAAGACTTGAGAAGAGTTTCTCTGTTGAGGCGGGATGTGTTTATAAGGCAGTCACCTTAGGAATTTGTGATTTTTATACTTTGTTAACTGAAAGTAAGAGGCAAGGACCCAAAGAAGTGAAGCCCTTCATGCTGTCTTGGGGGCTGAGGCAGGAGCTACTGGGTGGCCCCTGATCCAGCTTGCAGGATGAACCTATCACTGCCTGAACATGGACTCCCAGCCTGCCTTTGATGAGAGGGGCATTTGCGACGAGATCCAACTCGTTCTCTAAGAAGGCATGTAAACCTTCCCCTGGTCTGGTCGCATTTGCCCCTGAGAACTGTGCCTGTCAGTGAACCGCACCCACTTCTTAAAATGCATGCATGGTTGTACAACCATATGGTTTTCCCCTTAATCCTGGTTCCTGTCTACAGAAACCCTGAAATCCTGAAAAACGTCAACTTGTTCCCAAGAGTTGAACAGAGTCTTTCCCATCCAGTGACTTGTTTTTTCCCAGCTTGTTGCAGGAGGTGACATCATGGTCATTTACCTGCAGGAGCATCTTCTCTGTTAAGAAATACAGGACCATGATCATGCCACTGCACTCCAGCCTGGGCAACAGAGCAAGACTCCATGTCTAGAAATAAAAAATAATAATAAAAATAATTTCTGTGGGTTGAATCACATGGAAGTTTGCCACTGATCTGTATTTCAGAACTATGAAACATAAGTATGTGGAAAAAAGGAAAAGAAATACAGGACCTCCATAGGTATAACGTGGAACAGGGCAGTGGGTTTTGTAGTGCTGGTGAGGGACAGTGTCAGGAAGACCAGGTGTCCGGCTCTAGTCTCTGCTGGCCTGTTGGTCACTGCTGAAGAAGGGAGGGGGGTTTTTTACACTGAGATCTGTTCTGGTGGTAGTGCTCCCTCCTTGTCTTTCTGGACGCCTCTAACCAGGGTCTTCAGCCCAGTTGGCTGTAAGAGGGGGCTTTTGGCTTAGCCAGATATCTTACCGTTGTGTGCCTTAATCCTCCCCCCATCTTGGGAAGTATTTCCCCAAACTCTATCTTCTAAACCCTCAGGGCAATTCTGAGAGAAACGTGACCTGTTTCTGGGTTTGCTTATTTTGAAAATCTTCTTTCAGGTTCTTGACTTACAGACAACCATTGAAAACATTACTGCCTCTTACAACAATGGGACGGTGACACTTCAGGATATCTGCTTGGCCCCTCTCTCGCCATATAACAAGAACTGCACCATTATGAGTGTGCTGAATTACTTCCAGAACAGCCATTCCGTGCTGGACCACAAGATAGGGGACGAGTTCTACGTATATGCCGACTACCACACGCACTTCCTGTATTGCGTACGGTGAGTGGCAAAAAGCGGTCATTCGTGTGTCCCAGTGACACTTAAGCCTTGCTGTTGTTAGACTCTGTTCAAGATGTTAGCACAAACGGAGCAAGACTCCGCCCTGCGAAGCTTGCATCCTGGTGGAGGGAAACGGACGAAGAGCACATAAATACTTGATCGTTTCATGTAGAGATGAGTGCTGGAAGGAGGGAAATAAGGCCGGGTGGAGAGACAGAGATCTGCTCAAAGGGAAAGGAAAGGTAAGGAGGCAGCCTGTGGCTATCACAGGGACAGGCGTTCAAGCAGAATGGGTAGCAAGGGCAAAGGCCCAGGGGTGGGAGCTACTGTGACGTGTGATCCAGGAACAGCAGGTACCTCCTACCATTTAACTCATGCCTGGATCGGTAACACACAGTTTCATATGCCACACCTCTTGCACCCCTCAGTGTTTAAAGATAGAGCCTTATTGTATTTTTTTCCTGCCTTATATCATGATATTGAATTGTGTTTAGACACTCAGCTTCCCTTAGGAGTCAAGGCAGGATTGGTGTGCCATTTTAGATGGGCGGACCCTGCAGCTGCTTCCCTAGGAGGCATTTCTGGCTGGGCAGGGTGTGTTTATAGCTGGGATTAGTCACCACAGGAAGCTGTGTTCAGGTGTCTATGAGGGAGTCTTCAGGTTTGCCCAGTAGAGGAAAAGTGTCAGCTGCCAGATGGGCCTGCCCATTCTGAATGCCCTGGCCCTGGCCTTCAGCGGTTGTTCATCCAGTCAGCAGCCCCAGTGCTGTTTCTTCATCATGGGAGCAGAGAAGCTGTTCCTGGTTTCCTTTGATAGTACCGCTCAGCTCACGTCAGGAGCTGAGGACTTGGACTGCCGGTTCTAAAGAACCTTGGTGGCCTTGAGTTCTGTCTGTGTTTGCTCTTATCAGAGTAAGACTCTCTAGGCAATTGGTCTGTGTTTATCTCAAGGACATTTCCTCTAAAAACATGAGTTATACTCTTAAGACGTTGTTCGTGCCCATATACCCTAAACCAGCATTCTCTCAGGGTAGATGGTCCAAGGGAGCCATGGGGAATTCAGAGGGAAAAACCCCTCAGTATTATATCGTTTTTATATTTGGAGGAAAAAGACATTTACTTTCTGTTATTTTACAAAATGAAAGTCAGCAAAAATTGTGGGAGGAGGGTACATTAGACTTGTGTTGTATCAGGGGGCATGGGAACACTGCTGCGAAGAGCTCCCCTGGGGACAGGGATTTGGGTTGTCGTGTGGTTACACTTGACATGTACCCACAGCCTCAGGCTTGTCTCTAGCTCTCTCTTCTTTCCCCACCCTCCAACTTTTCCTGGACTTTTCCACCCGGAAGTTCCATAGGAACAGCACGTGGGCTGCCCAGAGCCAAGCCCAGTCCAGTTACTTAGACAAAAAGGCTTTCTTCCCAAGTCCTTCCTCATCTGCACCTTCCTCATGTAGGTCTGGTGAATTCAACCCCTGGGTGGCCTGGCACATCCATGCTGTGGGATGAAAATTCAGCTTCTAGCTGCAGGCTACCTACCACCAGGGCTGATACCATCACCTACTGTGATTGGCAAGAACTTCCCTCAGCGTCCAGCTCACTTCCGGCTGGCAGTCTGTCCTAAAATGCTTGTTCCCTCTCCACTAGCCAGCAGTCCTCACTGCACTGCCCCTCATGCCTGACCATTGCATATACCTGACTGGTCCCCCGCTTCCTGTTTCTCTTTTTTTATTTTTATTTTTTAATTTTTTTTTTTTTTTTTTTTTTGAGTTGGAGTCTCACTCTGTTGCCCAGACTGGAGTACAGTGGCCACTCCCGGCCACTACAGCCTCGACCCGCTGGGCTCCAGCGGTCCTTCCGCCTCAGCCTTCCGAGTAACCGGAATTACAGGCACGCGCTACCACGCCCGGCTAATTTTTTTGATTTTTATTGTAGAGATGAGGTCTCGCCTGCCCAGGTGGGTCTTGAACCCGCGGGCTCGGGCAATCCACTCACGTCAGCCTCCCAGACGCGCGGGATTACAGACTGAGCCATCGAGCCCGGCTCTTGTTTCTCTTTTTGAGTTGGAGTCTCACTCTCTCACCCAGGCTAGAGTGCAGTGGCACACTCACAGCCACACCAGCGTCGACCTGCTGGGCTCTGGCGAGCCTCCCAAGTAGCTGGAATTGTTAGACGCGCACTACCACGCCCAGTTAATTTTTTGTTTATTATAGAGACGAGGTCTTGCCAAGTTGCCCAGGCTGGTCGTGAACCTGCGGGCTTAGGCAGTCCACTCACTTTGGCCTCCCAAGTGCTGCGATTACAGGCTGAGCCACCAAGCCCAGCCCCACTTCTTGTTTCTTTCCCACTTCCGGCCCTTCTTCCACTCTGCCTCGCAGGTGATCTTCATAAAGCAGCTCGTGGCATCCATTTCCCAGAAATCTCTCATCGTCCAGAAATCTCTCATCGTCCAGAAATCTAAACCACTTGGCAGGACAAAATCCAAACCACTTAGCATGGCACTGTTTCTTTTTTTTTTTTTTTGGCATTATCTGTCACTTGCCCTTTCCAACCCAGTCCCCTCCCATGGCAGCTCCCTTCGTGGGCATGCCTTGCTCTAGGACAGGACTTCTTATTACCCCCTGAGTCGTCTTCCTCTCCCTCCCTTACTCTTCCCACAATTGCGAGTGCACAAGACACTCTTTTCCCCCTCCCTGGTGAAGTCTCCCTCATCCTTGCAGCTCTGGGTCTGTATAGGTTTCCTCTTGGTGACAGTTTTCCCCTGGTGGCATTTGCTCCCTCCCCTCTGCCCACATTGCACCATGTGCTGTGGATGGCACTGGGCTGTATTTGCCTTCTCCTGTCCAGTTATTGATTTGAGCCCCTAAAGAAAATGCTGAGCTGTATTACTCAGAGGAACCTCAGGGCCATGTTGTGCTTAGAAGACCATCAACCTCATCAAGTGTTTGTTGTACAAATGTTTAGGTCTTGGCAATGTCTTGAGGTGGTTCTAACTGGGAGATGTTTTCTAAACTTTTTGGCAGGGCTCCTGCCTCTCTGAATGACACAAGCTTGCTCCATGACCCTTGTTTGGGTACATTTGGTGGACCGGTATTCCCATGGCTTGTGCTGGGAGGCTATGATGGTAAGTAAGGGAACCTTTGACTTTCCTATTGGGTAAAGTAGTCTTGGTTTTGTCATTAACATCAAGTGATAGCCGGGCTCGATGGCTCAGCCTGCAATCCTACACCTTGGGAGGCTGAGGTGAGTGGATTGCCGGAGCCCGCGGGCTCGAGACCCGCCTGGGCAGCGAGACCTCATCTCTACAATAAATCAAAAAATTAGCTGGGTGTGGTGGCACGTGCCTGTAATTCCAGCTACTCAGAAGGCTGAGGGGGAAGAATCACCGGAGCCCAGCAGGTCGAGGCTGAGGTGGCTGGGAGCAGCCACGGCACTCCAGTCTGGGTGACGGAGTGAGACTCCAACTCAAAAAAAAAAAAAAATCAAGTGGTAATTATGAAGATTTCGTAAATTAGGAAGTCTTGTTATTGCCTTGTCTCCTGAATCCCAAATATAACATCTCTTTTGGCTTTGGGCGTGGGTTTAATTCTAGTACTTTAAAAGAAGTGGATTGTGTTAGCCTTGTTTGGGTGGCACATGCCTTTGAGAACTTGTCGAGGGCTAAGGTCATTTTCCCGGGGTAATGGAACTGTGTCCCTCTACATTCAGTTTCAAGGAGATCATGGGACCCTTGAAACTCATCTGTGGAACCACTAGGAAGTTATTAGGCCTCAGGTTAAGAACCCCTATATTGGGGAAGAGAGAATATTATGAGGTATGTGGAAAAACAAGCAAAGGCGATACATTTTTTTTTCTCCGAAACCAATCAGTTAAGAATTCGGACACTTTTGTTGTGTGAAAAGCAGTTGGTTTGCTCTTTACTGGTTCCTGTGCTACTTCGGAACAGATTGTACCTGATAAAATGAAGTAATGGTGTGATACCTTTGGCATCTGAAGCCTAATTACAGGCTTGACAGGTTTTTCTCCAGCTTGTGAAGAGGCCAGAGAGGTTTTCTTCTCTTTGCTCAATGGCAGGGGAGAGGTTGTGATGTCTATTGACAATTTACTTTGCCTCATGGAGTAAATGCCATTTCTAATTGGTGGAGAAGGGATGGTGTTAGCACCTGACTAGTCACAGGGTAAAAGGTTAAATTTAATCTCTGCCTTATTTCTTTTTTTTTTTTTTTTTTGAGTTGGAGTCTCACTGTGTCGCCCAGACTGGAGTGCAGTGGCCACTCCCGACCACCGCAGCCTCGACCTACTGGGCTCTGGCGATCCTTCCGCCTCAGCCTTCTGAGTAGCCGGAATTACAGGCATGCGCTACCACGCCCGGCTGATTTTTTTTTTTTTGATTTATTGTAGAGATGAGGTCTTGCTGCCCAGGCGGGTCTCGAACCCGCGGGCTCAGGCAATCTGCTCACCTCAGCCTCGCAAAGGCGCGGGATTACAGGCTGAGCCACCGAGCCTGGCTGTCTGCCTTATTTCTTTCACCAAAATAAATTCCAGATGAATCAAAGATTGAAATGTAAGAAGTAAAACTTTCAAAGAACTAAAAGAAAATACAGGAGGAATTTTTAATGGTAATTTTAAAATGGAGAAGTTATTTCTAAGCAAGACAATTCAGAAGCCACAAGAGGAAAGACTGATAAATTTGACTACATAAAAATTTTAAATTTATCTGTGGAGAACAAACATCATACAGTTAAAAAAATTGGACAAAAAAATTAGTATGCATAGTAGACAACTTTTTCTTAGTATATAAAGAGCTCTCATGAATAAAAGAAAAGATTAGCAACCCATAAGAAAAGTGGGTGAAGCCATGTGAAAGGTAACAAAAGAAGAATTACAAATGGCTTTTCATTGAGGGGGGACAAATGCTCAGCCTCCCACCTGTTGGTGAAATGCATCTCATTCCAGGCTTTTTAACCTCACAAATAGGCAAAGGCAAAGCTTGATAAAACCCTTTGTTGGTGACAATATAGGAAATTCTTCATTGCTGGGTTACTTACTAAAATGTAAGCTCCAGGACAGCAGGGGTGTCGTCGATCTCTTGTTCACTGATGTATCCATGGCATCTAAAGTGATGCCTGGCACAAAGTAGGTCTCATTAAATATTTTGTTGAATAAAAGAGTGCGAAATAGTCCGGCCTCTTTGTAAGACAGTTTAGAGGAATTTATCACAATTAGAAGTGTACGTGGTTTTTGATTGAGTGATTATGCTTTAAGAATTAATTTTACAAATATGTGTCTATACATTAAGAATATGTATAGATTATTTGTAGTGATTTTGTAATATCAAAATGCAAAAATGGGGATTGCTTAAATTACACTAGGAAATGTTAGCAGAAAGAAAATAAGAAAGCTCTTTATATGCTAAAATGGAGCAGTCTCCGACATACAAAATTTTAAAATGCAGAATAACACATTACAGTTTGTGTAATTAAGGAGGAAAGAGGAAGAATGTGTGTTGTGTCTGTGTGTGTGCGTGGACTATCTGGAAAGACTCCCAGGTAGTCATGGTATGGGGGAGAATTAAGAGCATGGAATGAGGGTTGGGGAAGGAGAGAGCATTACCACTGAACACCTTTCTGCTCTGTTTGAAATTCTTACCGTGCACGTATGTGCAACTTTAAAAAAAGGTTTCTCTTCTGAATGATAACTGTGCACCTGAACTGCATGCAAACTGTTGCAGTAAAGCACAGAGACAGCCTGTAGCTCCAGCGAGGAATCAGCCAGCTAGCTGCATTGGGATTCCTCCTGCATGTATCTAATTGTCTGCACGCTTGTAATCTGCTTTTGATGTCATTTTCCTTTCTAGATCAAAACTACAATAACGCCACTGCCCTTGTGATTACCTTCCCTGTCAATAATTACTATAATGATACAGAGAAGCTCCAGAGAGCCCAGGCCTGGGAAAAAGAGTGAGTGACTCATGGGGCTGAACAGATTGTCCTTTGGGGAAAGCTAGATGCGTGCAAGCACTTAAACTTCATTCTGTAAACTCACGAATGTCAGATCTCAGTTATGTAAAGTTGTACACTTGGTACTTGTGATGCTAATGTAAATATGTAAACAAATTCTCATCTTCACTTTTTAAAATTTTATCTTATTTTTTATTTATTCTTAGAGACAAGGTCTCGCCCTGTTATCCAGACTGGAGTACAGTGGCGCAGTCACAGCTCATGGCAACCTCAAATTCTTGGGCTCTAGCGATCCTCCTGCCTCAGCCTCCTGAGTAGCTGGGAACACAGGCGCATACTACTACACCTGGCCAATTTTTAAATTTTTTGTAGAGGTGAGATCTCACTATGTTGCCCAGGCTGGTCTCAAACTCCTGGGCTCAAGTGATTCTCCTACCTCAGCCTCCCAAAGCGCTGGGATGACTGGCATGAACTACCATGCCTGGTCATAGATTTACCTTTAAACAGATATTCCTACACAAGAATGCAAAAGTATGCAAAAAATGTTCCTTGCATTGTTTCCTAACAGCAAAAACTGGGAGCATGCTGAATGTGCATTAGTGAGGGATAAGGACTGTCAAATACTATGCAGTCACTAGACACAATAAGGTCAATAAGTAGTTCAAGATGGATTAAATAAAAGCTGTAGTCAGCATATTTACATAAATATAAGTTATACATTGCTGTCCAAGCTTCAGAAAAAACATCAAGTGAATGAGCTGAGAAATTGTTAGCTGTTTTTGTAAACTCTAGAGAATGGGAAGGAGAGGATTGGGGAGGACAGGGGACTTTCAGTCTTTACTTGATACCCTTCAGTAGTGGTTTTTCTGAGGTGTGATTTGTATGTCATACAGTTCACTCATTTGAAGTATACACTAGCTGAGCCTGGTAGCTCACGCCTGTAATCCCAGCACTTTGGAAGGTAGAGGCCAGAGGATTGCCTGAGCCCATGGGCTCAAGACCAGCCTGGGCAACATGGTGAGACCTCGTCTCTACAGTAAATTTTAAAAATTAGCCAGGTGTGGTGACACATGCTTGTAATTCCAGCTACTCGGGAGGCTGAAATGGAAGGATCGCCTAAGCTCAGCAGGTGGAGGCTGCAGTGGCCTTCAGTGTGCCACTACAGTCCAGCCTGGGGGACAGAGTGAGACTCCAACTCCAAAAATAAAGTAAAGCAAAGTATACACTTCAGTGGCTGTGGTATGGTCACACGTGTGCAGCCATCACCACAGTCCATTTTAGGACACTTGCATTGCCTCACAATAAGGTACCTTTCAGCCAATATCCCCTTATCTTCTCACCCTCCCATCCCTGGCCTCAGGCGGCCACTCATCTACTTTCTGTCTCTGATCTTCCTGTTCTGATCTTTCATATACTTGGAGTCTTATGTGGACTTTTGTGTCTGGTTTCTTTCATTTAACAGAATGTTTTCAAGGTTCATCCACATGTGGTATGTATCATCACTTCATTCCTTTTATGCCGAATCTGTTATATGGATATACTACGTTCTGTGTATTCATTTATCTTTTGGTGCACTTGGGTTGTTTCCATCTTTTGGCTATTATGAATAATGCTGCCTCAAGCTTTTATATACAAGGTCTTGTGTGGATATAACTTTTTCTTTCTCTTGGGTATATATCTAGGAGTAAAATTGCTAAGTTATATGGTAACTCTACTGTTAATTGTTTGAAAAACTGCCAGACTGTTTTCCAAAATAGCCATACCATTTTACATCACATTAGCAGGGTACAGAGGTTCCAGCTTCTCTGCATCCCTGTTAACACTTGAAGTTATCTGACTTTGTGATTCTAGCTGTCCTTATGGATATGAAGTGGTATCTCATTGTGATTTTGATTTGAGTCTTTTTGATGTCTGTTTCAGGCATCTCTTCATGTACTTATTGTCCATCAGTACATCTCCTTGGAGAAATGTCTATTCATATCCTTTGTACAATTTTTTTTTTTAATGAATTGGAGTCTCACTCTGTCACCCAGGCTGGAGTGCAATGGCATGCTCATGGCCACTGCAGCCTTGACCTGCTGGAGTCAGGCAATCCTTCCCCCTCAGCCTTCCAAGTAGCCAGAACTACAGGCACGCGCTACCACGCCCGGCTAGTTTTTTTATTTATTGTAGAGATGCGGTCTCACCAAGTTACCCAGGCTGTTCTCGAACCTGTGGTTTCAGACAATCCCTCACCTTAGCCTCCTAAAATGCTGGGATTACAGGCTTGAGCCACCGCGCCTAGCCAATTTTTAATTGGGTTATTTGTGTTTGTATTATTGACATAAGAATTTTTCATATATTATAGATAGATACAAGTCCCTTGTCAGTTATATGATTGTCAAATATTTTTTCCCATTCTGTGGGTTATCTTTTTGCTTTCTTGATGGTGTCCTTTGAAGCACAAAAGTCTTTAATTTTGATGAAGTCCAGTTTGTTTTTTGTTTTGTTGCTCATATTTTTAGTGTCATATCTAAGAAACCATGGCTAATCCAAGGACATGGAGATTTATGCCTAAGTTTTCCTCTGAGAGTTTTATAGTCTTGGCTCTTTTTTTTTTTTGAGTTGGAGTCTCACTCTGTTGCCCAGACCACCGCAGCCTCGACCTGCTGGGCTCCGGCAATCCTTCCGCCTCAGCCTTCCAAGTAACTGGAACTACAGGCATGCGCTACCACTCCCGGCTGATTTTTGATTTATTGTAGAGATGAGGTCTGGCCAAGTTGCCCAGGCGGGTCTCGAACCCGTGGGCTCAGGCAGTCCACTCACTTCAGCCTCCCAAAGGCATGGGATTACAGGCTGAGCCACCGAGCCGGGCTAGTCTTGGCTTGGCTCTTACATTTAGGTGTTTGATCTGTTAGAACTAATGTTTGTATATGATAATGAGGTAAAGGTCTAACTCATTATTTTGCATGTAGCTATCCAGTTGTCCCAAACCATTTGTTGAAAATATTATTGAATGATCATGCCATCCTTATCAGTAACTAGTTGGCCACACCCATGGTGCGTTTCTGGACTCTCAGCTCTGTTCCTCTGATCTGTATGTCTGTCCTTGCACCACTGCCACACTGTCTTGATGTCTGTTGTTTTGTTGTAAGTTTTGAAATTGGAAAGTGTGAGTCCTCCTACTTTGTTCTTCTTGAAAAATAAGTTTTGGCTGCTTTGGACCCTTTGCAATCTCATGTGAATTTTGGAATCTGTTAGTCAGTTTCTACAAAAAAGTCAGCTAGGGTTCTGATAGGTATTATGCTAAATCTGTAGATCAACTTTTTAAATTTTGTTACATGAGTTGTGCATTTTTAATATATTTCATTTAAAAATCTTTTTTTTTCAGTTAAAAAATAGCAAGAACATGAACCAATTTCCATTTTTTTCTAAACTTTTCTTTTCTTTTTTTTTGAATCGGAGTCTCACTGTTGCCCAGGCAGGAGTACAGTGGCCTTTGTGTTATACCAGTTGGGAAGAAGTCTCTGACTTAGCTACTGCAAAGTATAAACTAAAAATATAAAATTTTGCTTACTTTTTAGGCTTATTAATTTTGTGAAAAACTACAAGAATCCAAATCTGACCATTTCTTTTACTACTGAACGAAGTATTGAAGATGAACTAAATCGTGAGAGTAACAGTGATGTCTTTACTGTTGTCATTAGCTATGGCATCATGTTTCTATATATTTCTCTAGCCTTGGGTCACATCAAAAGCTGTCGCAGGCTTCTGGTAAGCAGGGTGTGTGTGTGTGTGTGTGTGTGTGTGTGTGTGTGTGTGTGATGGTTTTTTT